GTGCCGCGCCGTTGTGCCGCATACCCGGCGCGGCCGCGGCCACACCCAACCTCGTGCGGCCTAAGCGAAGGCGGGGCCGAGGGGGCGGCACACAGCCGCGCGGCGAGGGGCGAGCAGGAGGGCGGATACGCGCGTGTGCGGGCGTGGCGCGGTGCGCGCGCTCGGGGAACCGCCGCCAAAAACCCCTGCCTCCCCCTCAACCTCCTGCCCCTGTGATTCGCGCCCCGCCCCGCCGGGTCCTGATTGACATGCAAGGCCCCAGCCATTGCAGGCGGCCCGGGGCGGCATGAGCTCGGCGGTGAGTCAGAATAAGGACCCCGCCGCGCGAAGCAGCCACGTGTGAGGGACCGCAACACGTGACCTCCAGGGCACGTGAACTTCCGAACGCCCTAACCCGCCATGAACGGTGACTCACTTTCGTACACGTCTCGGGCCGATGCTCGGTGCGCACACATATCGCCGCCTATAGCCAGTCCACTATCCATTCCATATTCCATGCGTCCATTCGAGTCTGTGGCACGACGGTTGGGGGGCGGGGGGAGTGGGGTATGGGAAGGGGGTTGTGGCCTAAATCAACATGTGGTCGCCTAACCTCACCAGATGGAGCGGGGCACACACTCTCCCACTCAAACACTCACACTCACTCACACACACACACACACATACACACACACACACACACACACACACATACACACACACAGAGTCGCGCCGTCTGCGCGGGAACGCGCGGCGCGCAGGAGGAAGGCGGCATGGCAACAGGCAGCGCCGCGCCGCCGCTGAGCCCCTGCGCAGCCCCGCCGGGCCGCGGCCGCACCTCCACGCCGCTGCCGGCACCGGCCTGGCGGGGCCCTGGTGGGGCCCTGGCGGGGCCCTGGCGACGCCCCGGCGGCGAGGTCAGGCGCGGGACGTGCACGATAACGAGTGTCGGTGTTGCCGTGGCGGCCCGCCGCCCTCCCTGGAAGGGTGCGTCAGCTCCAAGCCGCGGTCACGTGGCCGTGGCGAAGGCGCGCCGGCGACCCGAGGCATGTGGGCGGCTGGGGCGTGAGCCTGGCACGATCGTCTTACCTGGGGTCAGAGTTCACGTTTCCGTAAGATCCATGCGCACGTCGCGCTGCTTGGTCCTCCTCCGAAGTCGCGCTGACGCCGGCTGTCACTCGGAACACTCACAGCACTCACTCCACCGACACTAGGTACTCCACGTAGCACACACACCGCGGGCGCTGTGCCTGGCTGGGCCCCGGGCCTGGCCCCGGCCGCCGCCGCCCCCCGCACAGCCCTGCCGGCGGGCTGCCGCGCTGAGGTCGTGACGTTGCGGTGACTCGCCGAGCAGTGAGACCGTGCGCGCCTTGCCCGGCTCGAGCGCCGCAGCGCCGCTCCGCGCTCCGCTCGCTCGGGCCGGGCCGCAGGCCGCCCCCCGCCGGGCCCAAGCCGCCGCGCCGCCGCCGCCACCGCTGCTGCCGTTGCGGCGGTAGCGGCGGCTGTAGCAGGTCCAAGGCGCGGCGGCGGCGGTGGTGTCTGAGCGCGTAGCGTGCAAGATGGCGTCCTCGCGAGGCGAGCGCCACGACGGCGGCTCAGCGGCGAGGAGGCCCACGCCGGGGCCCCGCGCGGCCCCACCACGACGCGCCGCGACGCGCAGCGACGCCTACTGACAGGAATAATAATTGGGGAATAAAAACCCGGGCTTATCTAGGCAACCACCTGCTGAGTGTTGTCGGGTCAATCATTCGAGAGCCAAGACCCATGGGTTGGCCATTTGTCCTACAAAACCCTTGGAATAAATAGGTAACCCGCAGTAAATCGTGCCCTCCGTCAGACGGACTTAAAACCTCGCCTGGCTAAACCAAAAACCTGATAAGACTGCACCTACTTGTTTACACATAGCGTAAAGAAACTTTACACGGAGAGGATTGGGACACTCTGCAATTTCGCAAAGTCTTCCATTTTGGGTATTTGACAACAAAGTCTTCGAAGCCTTCGGACCTTGGCCATCTTCAGCAGGCGACAGTGTACGTCATTGGCCAACCTGCCTTGATCCTGGACACGCCCCCCACCTCGGTCGTTCCCAAGCCTGGAGGCAGAATCTCTCCGGGTTTTAGGACTGGCTCTCACCCTCGAGCCAGTTCTGTTTTCAAAATCACGACAGCGCCTTGCTGGTCGCGCTATTAGGCGTCCTAAACAGGTTTTCCACGCTGCCGGCGCTCGCCTCGCTACGCCAAGCTGACCGCCGCCAAGCTACACCGAGCTATAAGCCAAGCTTCGGCTACGCGCAGCTATGCCAAACTACGCCACGCTACACCACGCTTCGTATGTCCCCCACCGAGAAACCACCCCAAGTGTCGTTGATCTCAACGTGGGTCAGGACCGGAGGGGGGGGGGGGATGAAAATATGGGATGCCTCAGAGTGACCGCATAGACAAAGGGTGCGGTCGCTGGGAGGAAAGGGTGGGAATGAACCTCCGAGAAAGTCTTGAATAACTTCAGATAACTTTTAGGTATTCGTGGATTTGTCGGTTGGTTGTGAAGTGACGGTTGACGTTATCACGTTGGTATCACTGCTGGTATCGTCACCTGGTAACACTTGCACAAGTAAAATGTTATTGGTTTTAAAGTCGGTACCCAGGAGTGGTCAAGGCGTGGTGTCACGGCATGGTGTTACAGCGTGGTGTCACGGCATGGTGTTACAGCGTGGTGTCACGGCGTGGTGTTACAGCGTGGTGTCACGGCGTGGTGTCACGGTGGGGTGTCAAGGGGTTGTATCGCCGCGTACAGTGACGGCCGGATGGCGCGATGGCCAGGAGGGTGTCACGGCCGCCAGATCCGGAGGGACAGGACGCCGCCTCGACAAATGGACGAAGGGAACTGATTTGTCGAGGAACGGGTTGCTCCGTCCACTAACCACATGTGTGAGTATTCAACTGTGTGCGTGCGTGTGCGCGCGCGCCTGTGTGCGTGTGTGCGTGCGTTCGTGTGTGTGCGTGTGGGCTACAGCGAGCGTGCTCGCAATGTGTGGCAACGCAGCAAACCAGCGTGAGCCGGGCTGAGCTGTCCTACCAGTTCAAGGCTAAGGTCCGCTCGGCCCGGCCGCGCCCAGAACGCTACGCCCCGCCACGCCCTCCTCCTTTCCTTTTCCTTCTCTCTCGTCATCTCTTTTCCGCTCTCTCTCTCTCTTTTCTCTCCTTCCACCTTCTCTCCTCCACACCACTGCGGCTTATTACTGTTATTTCTCTCATTCAACCCACAAGTGGTGTTAAAATTTTAAACCCTTTCGTCCAGCTGCCGTGCGTGCTATGTTCATTGTTCTTTAGAGCTACCTACTGTCGCGGCTGCAGTTGCTGATGCCTGCAACCATGAGAGAAAGGCGCACTTCTCTTGCGGATGCTGCAACGCCATTCGCGCATCATCGTCGATAGCTTTACTTGTTTTGGGACTTATTCACTTCGCGAGTTACCTCTAACGACAACATATCGATATCGCGGCGACCAAAGTGCACGTTCCCGGCGGGAGTATAGTTCAATTCGCGCCGACTCGAGAAGCAGCAGCTGGGGCGCCTCCAACCACCGTTGCCACCTCTGTGTCTGTGTGTGTGACAGAGAGGAAAATAGGGAAAAGGGGGGGGGCATAGATCCATGTCTATAGACATACTACAGATCTCAGAGCACACGCTGTACGCTGTGATCGCTGCGCTTTGCAACTTTTCTACATTTCTTTTTTAATGACAATTTTTCGAATTTCGGAAAATGGAAGAATTTGGCCTCCTCCGGAAAAAAGAAGTAAAAATATCTTTCAAAGCAGCCTCACACTGGCCATTTCTAAAAGAAAGCAAAAATTTGGGATCCAAAGAAACCTTAAATAATTGCAGATTTGCGTTGTCTCGAAAAGACTTCCAAAGTTTGTCATTTTAAAGGCGATGATTTTTTTGCAAGCGGTACTGAAGTGCAGCGACAAGGCGAGCGGAGGCGGGTGGAGACCGCCGTGGCCTCGTGGGGCTATACTGACCCGGTGAGCGCGCGTGCTCCTAGGTTGCCTACCCACACGGGGTCAGTGGTGGCTAAGGGCGATGGACAGGGTCCACCAGGATGGAGGGCGGGTGGGGGGGCACCACGAATTAGCCGTTAGCTCTTGCACCCACTTCACATACATCCTTCCCACGCACCTGGTAAATCTCTCTTCTTAGGCTACGCTGCCTTCACTATTCGCATTCGCTCCCCGCTCCCATTCCCCTTCTGCACAACTCAACCAACTCGGCCTCACCGCTCCCCCGCCGAACGCCTGGCACCCCGCGCTGCCACGGGGGCCCCCGCCATGGCGTTGGCGACACCCGCGATGGTACCCGCGGCCGTACTCGTACCCGCTACGAGTGTTTCATAACCAGGCCTGTGTGCCCTCGAGATAAAAGACAAGGGCAGAGAGTACGCGACCCCGGGCGGGGCCCTGCGAATCAAATGTCTTGACAAGGCGGGGCGGGCCTGCTACGGACCCATATCGTATCACGCTCGGCATGTGCCCCCCCCCCCCGGCTTCCTCAGCCTCGATCGTTCTTTCGAGTGGGATCGAATCCCTCTACGGCTTTCTGCTCCGCAACAACAGCCAGCCGACCACCAAGACGACCAAGCTGGATACCCTAATACTTGGTCCGAGACCTCAGTTTCAGGGGGTTTGGGGCAATGTGCAACCTCATGGCAACTCATCTGCCGCAACCTGCGACGCCGGATCCGCGAGCCCCATATCCTGTACCACGGTGGAAGAGAGTACAAAATAATACCAGAAGCACCGGCTGGCCGGATTGAAGAAACATTATTCTCTTGCAGTCGCAGTGCACGGCTCCGAGGTGACGACAAGGAGCCTACACCGGCCCTATTCACCAGGCCGTCCACGCACCGCTCGCCACTCGAGTCACGTCGGGTAGCCGGCGGGGCGGGGCGGGGGCCGAAAGCATTGTCCGAGCCGTGCTCCGCCACGGGCGTGCTGCCTGTGTGTGCCGCGTGCTGTCCACAGTCTCACGGCCAGGCTGCCTGGTGCCTACACTACTTCTCTCTGCCGGCTGATACCGCACCCAGCGCTCGCCCGACTCAGAAATCGAGCTCAGGACACGTGAACCTATCTACAGAGTCACCACCATGGGTCATAAGCTTGACGCGCCGGAGACGGGGACCAATAAAAAGACATGGCTCAATTCGCGCCTCAAGTCATGCAAGCGTTGGGGGTTGGCGAGCGGCCATCTACACCGCATCGTGCCGTATTGACACGTCGCGCATTGTGCATTTCCGAGGACATGTGTGGCGGAGTCCAGCCGCAGTGGTATGCATTGTATGTGTGGGAGAGAGAAGAGAGAAGAGAGAGAGAGAGAGAGAGAGAGAGAGAGGGGGGGGGGGATGCATACATTACCTATATGCTAATACCAGCAGGGCGCTCAAGGGTTGTACACCTGCCGCACTGGGCTGCCGGTCGGAGGGACTCCTCCCCCCCTTCCTTGGCCCTGGCCTCGTCTAGGCCCATCTGCCGAGAGACCTAATAAAGTATCATGAGAGATTAATTAAGGGCCACTTTCCTCTTGAATGATAGGTGTCACGGCATGGTGTTACAGACCTAATAAAGTATCATGAGAGATTAATTAAGGGCCACTTTCCTCTTGAATGATAGAGTATTTCTCCCGAAAAGCATCACGCGTACCCTCAAACAGGTAGACGTACTAATACCAAACACAAAATTCTGCAGAATATTATGCCGTCGTTCAAGTATTAATCGTTTCCCTACATTTTCTCCTATTGCACTCATTTCGGTTCATTTGCACATTTTTGAGTTTTGTGTTGTACATTTGTGTCGGCAAATTCCCTAGGAACAAATAGCACTTGAGTTCAGCAGATTGCTGACGGGTTGTGCAGTTAAAGATAGAGTAAAGGACAAGCAGCATGTGGCGGGGGGGGGGGGGGGGCGATTTTTTTATAAATAAAAGAATTCTTAACAATATGTATATATGTAGATGGACAGGTGATATAATAGTCATGGATATACAATGACACACTGTAAAAAGTAATGGTGAGAATTAACAGTGAATTTTTAAGTGGCTTTTGTCGTTGTAAAACAACAATGTTTGCCATGTAACAACAGTTCTTGTTCAAGAGTTAATATTATTTCTTATTCATTTGACAAATTGTAGGAGATCCTCCTAGCGCATTCGAGGATCAGGGTAGGCCACCCTGAAGTGCACGCATGCACTGAAGGCTAGATGGGCACTGCGACAGCTTGCACAGGCTTCCATTGGTAGTTTCGTTACTTCGAATGAAGGACGTACCTTCCGGATCTCCCCTTATACAAAAGA